TCAGACATGCAGGTTTCCTCACGATGTTTTCCTTCAACGCCGAGCACGTGGTAAATCAGCACTTAAAATTGCAGTTAACAATTTCATTGGTGCCGGCAGGGATCGACCCCGGGTTACTCGCGTTCTGTTATATTTACAGCGAGCGTTAACCATCTGAGCTACCACGGCTCATTATTCAGATAATTTCATATCATTGATCACACGTGTGTGCAGGAATTGCACGCTTTAATTCCTCCCTCCCCTTTCCACCATCGGACGACCGTTGTCGATACGTATTTGAACCAAACGGTTTACTTCGACTTTTTAACGTGTACAGCAAAGTAGTGAAATAATTTGCCGGCGTCTATCTTTCCATCCGAATACAATCTGGGTGTCTTCAAAGCAAGAGTGAATGGGCATTTGTTATGCTAAGACAGTGCGCTTCACCATCTAAGGCTGCATAACCACTTACCACCAGGTGGGATTGTCGTCAAGCACTGGCTTATAAAAAGTAAAAAAAAAATATTATTATTATTATGTAGGCTATTAAAACGTCGGCAAGCAGTCCATATCAAACAGATGCAACTTCTGTACGTAGTACTGTTAGTTATTCTGCGACATTACGCTCTTTTTATTTCTGTTTTATTGCCCAAAAATTGAAACACCGCGCATTGAATGCAAAATAAAGACCGTTGAGCGGCCGCATTACAATTGTAAAGAGGCCGTTTTGGTTCTCCTATAACTCGGAAGAAAATTTAATTTTCATATCTCCACGTTGTTGAGGTTATCGGTATCTTAGTTAGCAAATTCTGAAGTATTCCATAAACTTGATTAATTATATATTTTGTAAATATAACATAATCAGAAGATTTAGCGTTAAATTCATATTTTTATATTATGGAACTAGGATGATAAACGAGCACACAGTCCACCGGATGGTAATGGATGCTGTGGCCCATAGGCACCTACATGTATCTATAATTATGAATCGAAATACAGACACGTTGTCAGTTGTCATCAATGAGGACTAACATGGAATTCCTCGTTTACGGTCATAAGGTATTCCGGTTCTCTACACTCAATATACGAAACACACTAGCAATAACCTGCTATTTGACGCTGGTATTTTGTGAGAGCGTTGTCCTATCCTAGTCGAGCCGAACCACTCGTGCCGTAATAGCTGCAGCTTGGCTCTACCACATACAAAGTTAAATAAATACCGTTTCAGGTTGAAAAAAAAATGGTAGGTATGCAAATTACTTTAACTTCATAAGCAAGTTAAATAAGTTTGAGAGCAAGAAAATTTTATTATATTATTCTACACTCTTGTACGAAGATTGACCCTTTGTACTGGTGACGAGGCCTTCCATCTTAGTCCACAAGGTTAAAAACGCTCTTCATTTTGATTCATATTTGAAGATAAATGTCTATGGGCCACAGCATCCACTTACCATCCGGTGGACTGTGTGCTCGTTCTTCACACATTATTCTATAAAAAAGTGTGTTATAAAAAAGTGGCGACTATGGTAAATGCCGTAAAGATCTCAACCTTCATTAATAACGCATAGTCCACCTGATGGTAAATGGATGCTGCGATCCATAGACATCTTCATCTATCTTCAATCTCTTACGCCACCATCACCCATCATTTGGTATTTAATTACTCTTTCGGAATCACTTGTGTGTGTTAGGATAATGAAAGTAAATTGAAAATAAATTCTCACTCCCTCGCAATCGTAATGCCTATCTGCCGGATTTTGTGTAGTCTTTACTTAGAATTAGGATTTATTTAGGATTTACTGCGACATACCAGCTATAGTTCTAAGCCTTGTGCACATGAGTTGTAGTAGTAAATGTGTAGTTGGATGATAGGGTAGTGGATGTTTTTTCACCACCACTGCACGGTAAAAATCTTATTGTGTTTGTTGCTAATTTCAAGGAATGGGTTTTAGCGTGTTTAACAATATTTTAGCAAAGTATACACTTTGCATTAAATGCTATTTAAATGTAATGAATTGATTAGAGTAATATAAAAACATTTTACGTTATGTTCACATACTATTCCGTTATATTTTATTAAAAGATAATAATATTTTCAAATACCTGATTCTTATGCTATTTAAATATTTATAATATTAAATTTATGACTTTATTATATAGAAAATGACGAGAAATGAAAATTGTTTTTATTGACATGTTATTACATCTTAGTCCTAAGAAGTGACAACGCATTTTCCTTTTGGTTCATAATGCACGAGATGTAGGCTTAAGGTGTATGTAAACCATTTCGAAATCCTTTCCGATGCTCACTAATCACGATCCTTCATAGTCTCAAATCAGTCATAATGCTCGAACGCACTTTAAATTTATATTTAAGTAGATTTGAACAGATACTCGTATTATGTTATTTTTATAAATTTATTTTGACAAATGAACGGACATTCTATTATGTAATATCTGCAACAACTTCTAACAAAGAAGGTTACGTGGCAGTGTTTTGTCACCCTGAAGACAAGTTAGTCTTTACGCTGTCAATGCAGTCGTCACAGTTTGTAATTTACCGGGCTCTGCTGAAGATCATAGATATCTATTTCTATTTTCAACTAGAATCAAACTCTAATGCGTTTAAGATGAAATGCCTTGTTTCGTTACTAGTAAGCCTCAGGTTTCCGATACAAAGTATACGAAACACAACAGCATTACGCTGGTGTTTTATGTCGGTACTGGGCACTTAGTGCATGGTTCACCCTTCGTCGTGCCGCGTTCTTTTCACAGTTGCAGTGTGTTTTACCACATGAAATCGGTAACAGACTCTCAGAAGCACATTCACAAGACAATAAGGTTAAGTTGGGATTAGAACGCCAGGAATCGTCAAAGGTCATGCGGTCGTCTAACAGTGGTAGAGACAAGGGTCATGTAAAAATGTAAATTTTAAGTAAATGTTTGATCCGCTTGGTTTTAAATAAGGATCCTCTGATTTAAACCCTCATGGTTTACCCTGAACATATTGTCCGGCGGTCATTTCATGGATTAATTAAATAAGCGTGAAATAGTCACATCCAAAAAAAAAGGATCTCTAATACGAGGGTGGATTGAAAAGTACTCGGCCTAACCAAGAAAATAAACACATACTAAATCAGTTATATTTTTATTTTTCTACATAATCACCATCAAGTTCAATACACTTTTGCCACCTCCCCTTCCAAGCATTTAGACCGTTGAAAAAAAATGATTCTTCCTTAGAGTCAAAATATGCGTCTACAGCTGCTTTGACCTCGTCGTTTGTCGAAAATCTTTGACCTCCCAAGTGCTTTTTTAGGTTAGGGAACAGAAAGGAGTCTGATGGTGCCAGATCAGGTGAATACGGCGGATGCGATAACAGTTCAAAGCCACAGTTGTGAATTTCAGCCATTGACTGTACTGACGTGTGAACACGGGCGTTATCTTGATGAAACAGGACTTTTCTTCTGAGCATTCCTCGAAGTTTTTCTTTTATTTCCTCTCGTAAACGACGTAGTAAGGTGCAGTAGTAATCAGAGTTTATAGTCTGACCCCTTTCAAGATAATCAATCATAATCACACCTTTCGAGTCCCAGAATACTGAAGCCATCACCTTATTTGCCGACAAAATCGACTTCGCCTTTTTAGGGGTGGTGAACCAGGTGTTCTCCACTGTTTTGATTGTTGTTTTGTTTCCGGTGTACAGTAATGAACCCATGTTTCGTCCATAGTAACAAAACGATTCAAAAAATCATCTGCATCGGCTTCAAATAACTCCAAACAGTCGCGTGAAATAGTCAATCGCGTCCTTTTTTGTTCAACTGAAAGCAGTCGCGGAACCCACCTCGCAGACACCTTGTGGAAACCCAACTCGTTGACAATGATGTTTTGAGTTCATTCATAAGAGATGCCTATAATCTCGGCTATCTCTCTAATTTTTAATCTGTGGTCTCCCATTATTAAATCAAGTACTTTTTTAATATTTTCGTTAGTAGTTGACGTCGAAGGCCTTCCAGAGCGGGGTTCATCTTTCACACTCACTCTACCACGCTTAAATTCTGCTATCCATTTTTTGACGGATGAATATGACAGAGCACAATTGCCTAATGTACTGACCATGTCATCATGGATGGCTTTTGATGATAGCCCCTTCTTATGGAGGTACTTAATGACGGCACGCTGCTCGATTTGCTCCATTCGCGGAAATTATGTCAGATTACTTTTTTAATAAATTTATAAAATCACAACTAATTATCGCACACGTTTCGAACTTCACACAATGAACTAGTCTGAACTGAACTAAATAATGTGGGTAAATTTGATTTTTAGAATTGAATGGATCTGTGTTAGGCCGAGTACTTTTCAATCCACCTAGGTATTTTCACAAGCATTCTTGCAAAGTAAACTTACAGCCTATGTATTTCTAAATGTTCTCATTTAGCTGCTCAAGCGTCATCAAATTATATTCCCCTGCTGTTTATACAATGTTTTTTTCTCCACCATGGATGTAATAATTATGTACTCAAACTGTTGCCATTGACATTCACGCCAGCGAGAATCAAACCCGTGTTGCTGCGTACTGTAAAATTTACAGCAAGCAACCCCTTTATCTTTACAATAACTTGTTTATAAATATTACTTACGAAAACACAAACAGGCAAACTTATCTTTATGTTATTTAGCTTTAGGATCTTTTAATGGTAATACTTAACTTTAAGTATTAGCAAATATGAGTTCTCAAGGAAACATAACGTAACTTTGATAATTATATTGTTGCCATTTGATAGCCAACGAAGCGATTCAGTTTACCTTTGATCGTTTATACAATTTAAAATGTCGTTGATGCGAATGAGAACCTTTTCCCCTGATTCATAAAGAATATTATTCAACTAAATATTATTCAAGTTAACACAGGCGAGAAATCGATGATACTAAATCTTACTAAAATAAACTTGAATAAAGTGAAGTTCGGTTTTGAATCAGTCAGTCAATTAGTGTCTACGTCTCCGCTTCAGCTCAAAATGAAATCCGATGTTTCTTTAATATTTTTGTTAATTTTCGGTGAGTGCATATTTCTTAAATTACTTTGATTTATTTATATACTGTAATAACTATGAACATGTTAAAACTAGACGGAATTATTTTAGAATATAAAATATAATTAACCCCTTTGCCTTATATATAACGAAGCTGATTAATTTGAAAACTTGGAAAAAACTATAGCTGTTAAATAAATAAGGTTTATATTTCGGAGTCATTTAATTTTAAAAAAAGCACTACATAACAATAAACATAATGTTATGATAAAGGTACAGGAATGTGAAGATAGTGGACGGCACCATGTAATCATTGTGGCGTTCATACCGTATTACATTAACATCATTACTATCATTACATCACAGATCCACTGCTTAACAAAAGCTTCCCTCATATTTTTACTAATACTCCTAAAAATTTTTTTTATTGTCCTTATAGTTTTTTTTCTAAATTTATTTCACTAGCTGTGCCCGCGGCCACCTTCGCGTGGAATCAGTAGTTATACCTTTGTTGCGATTAGATATGTGATGGTGATTTCTTTGAACTTTTAATCCACAAGGCCCTATTTTGTGTAAAAATTTTCATTAAGTTAGTCAATCAAACAAATTAACAAACGAACCCACAAACGGGTTTATAAATTAACGAACGGACTCACAAACGAACTAAGAAACGAATTGGGTAAACTATACGCTTGTGTTTCAAATTGTAAATAAGCATCAAACGATGGATTGTATGCTATAAAACCTAGTCTTTAATAGATTCACCATCAGTGCAAATAGTTGTTTCAAGTTCACCATTACAATATACGTACTTCAAATATGTAGATAATACAAGATATGAGATAAGGTAAGTTAACATAAAAGATGAGAATGTTTTAGACCGTAAAAATGAAAAAAAAAAATTAAATCCGTGTCCTGATATCATTATTATTTAATAAAAATCGGCCAAGAGCGTGTCGGGCCACGCTCAGTGTAGGGTTCCGTAGTTTCCCGTCCGTCACAATAAGTGTTGCCACTTATGAGTTTAAAGGTGGGTATCCATTATGTTCGCGCTCCAGCAGCGCTCCGCGCTCCTGCAACTGCTCCCGGTAGTGGGTACTGTTGTTTCCATCCAAGTTCAAAATGATTTTCCTAGAAAGTCCTTATAAATTTCTACTTTTCAGATTTTTTTCATATTTTCTAAACTTATGGTTCAAAAGTTAGAGGGGGGGGCATTGTTTTTTTTACTTTTGGAGCGATTATTTCCGAAATTATTGACATTATCAAAAAATGATTTTAGTAAACCCCTATTCATTTTTAAATACCTTTCCAACAATATATCACACGTTAGGGTTGAAATTAAAAAAAAATTACTTCCCACTTTACATATAGGGGGCTACCCTAATAAACATTTTTTTCCAATTTTTATTTTCGGCGGACAGACGGACAGACAGACATGGCGAAACTATAAGGGTTCCTAGTTGACTACGGAACCCTAAAAAAGAAAATCACCTCGAAAATGCGTTAAATGTAACAAATTTCGTTTTACAGAACATTACCATTAGAATGCTTATACATAAATTTATTCCATTTCGATTGTTCCAAAGATTATTAATTAATTAAAGATTTAAGCGCTTTAACTGTGAATAGAACGTCGTGTTATATGCATTTTAAATCTAGCGCTTAGCCTTTGTGCTGTAACAGCTCAATATATTATATGTAATATGTGAAATACAGTCTACTTCTTCAGCTCTAAGAGTCATGGCCTCAAAGACATGGGCCTCCCCCGTTGTAGGGAGAACTTGCCTTAGTCTTCATGCTCGGTAGCCAGTTTAAGTTGTACGTGGTAGAGTCACGCTGCAGTTATATTATGGTTGTAGCACGAACGGGTCGGTGTAACCGGGGAAGGGACCACGCTGTCACAGAATGCCTGTGTAAAATAGCAGCTCAATGCTGCTGTGGTTCGTATGGTGAGCGAAGAGAGTCAGAATCTCTTTTTTACCGTAAACGAGGTATCACATCTTAGTACTGAGGGGTGATAATGCGTCTGTATTTTAATTCTTAATGAATTGATTTACCATCAGGTCGACTTTGGACATGTTTGTCAACCTAATTCTATATTAAAAAAGTTAACTTCTTTTTTATGTCATTTTAATGTTTTCACTAAATCTTCTATACTCATTTAAAACTATTTCAGGTCTCTTGATTTTTCCCGCTGAATGTACTCTCAAAATTGGTACAAACGTGGACATGCAGAAGAAGAAGTTGACACTTCGGTACAGTCTTCGCCCAACACTGTTCTGGAGTTCTTCTAACTGTCCTATACTAAGTAATACAATGTCAAGTTTACAATATTTGTATAAATAACTTATGTTATAATAAAACGTGTTAACAACTAATCGTTAATGTTAATTAAAGTTAATATCTACACATTACGCTAAATCAAAGAGAGTAACGGCGCGCGGATTTTAGTCCATACAAATACCTCTGTTTTCTACCTGGACACAAAATAGCTAATAGTTCGACGATACAATATACTTATATCCAGCATTGCCGTGATCCAATGTGTTTTTTTTTTTAAATAAATTAATTAAACAAACCTACCAATACAGCCATGTTAGTAAACCGTGTATCGACATCTAGCAAACAATTTCAACGAACAAAATATTAAAATAAAACATACAGACGTAGTCACAATCTTTCTTACATTGCTTATGAAAAATTAATTGATATACTGAATGGTGATCTCGACAATCTTTTATAGGTAAAATTAATCTGAGCTGTCTGTCTTGGTTGCCTAGTTTTGTACTGCATTGAAATGCCTTGCAGTCTAAATATACTCTTAAAGCAAATTCTAACACCGCATCGGGAGAATCCCCTCATCCAGTTGTTACATTTATTTAGGTGACAAAGGAGAACACATTTCACCTGATGGTAAATGGATGCTGTGGTCCAGGATGCTGTGCCGTAGTAAAGCGCCGCTCCATATTATTTTCACCACATCGAACTCAACTACATAATGCTGCCTCAGCTGATTGATAAGCTAGACTGGTAAATAACCAAGTTCATCTGATTACGATGAACCCTTGCTAAATCCTTCAAGATAAGAAATTATGCATTCAGAATATTCTGAGCGACCTTATTAGAAATACAGTAAAGTGGTAAATAACAGCTTATAAACGTTACACTACTGGGCACGGACCTTCTCTCATTCCTGAGAGAGTTACGGAACAACCAGTCCGCCGCACTGCTCTAGCGTGTGTTTTGCAGACTTCAGATATGACTTCGAAATATTTTTATTCCACAGACACTATTTACTTCACCTATGAGTTCATTATAAATCACGAATTACTAATTACTAATTATGTTACACATCTACACACTACCACATTATTTCCACACGGCCCAGGGTGATTGGGAGAGAACGCCAAAAGGCATTATGTGAGCCTTTTGTTCAATTTATTGGCGGTGTAAGATAACCTACTGCCCTATATGATCCATTGAGTGAAGCAAGAGGCAACAGTAGGAAAATGAGACAGGAGATAGGCAGCAGCATCGTACGTGGTAGAGCCACGCTGCAGCAGCGTGGAGCCGACCCATTTGTGCTACAACAATAATATTCTATATTATGGTTGTAGCACAAATGGGTCGGATTTACGCTCTCACAGAATAACAGCGTAAAATAGCAGCTTAATACTACCATGTTTCGTATGGTGAGTGAAGAGATCCGGAGACCTTTTTTTTAATGAAAACGAGGCATTTCATCCAAGTTACCACAGAGGATAAATTTAAATGTCTATGGGCCACGTAGATGTCTATGGGCCACAGAATCCACTAATAATTTTATCCACTTATAGCTTACATAAGCGACAGTAGCCTATTGGCAGGGCGCGGACCGCGATTTCAGAAAGGTCGTGGGTTCGAATCCAGCATTCGACTACTGGCGTGAACCACTCGTAACACAAGCAATTTAAGCTTACTACGAGTGGTGAAGTGGAATATTAGTAATGTTTATAGCATTGTTAATATTCTTATAAAAAAAATAATAAAAATAGGGAAACTGTGTGCTCGTTTGTTACTTTTACGTTTGTTACCCTTATTCTATAAAAAAAGCATCTTCCTAATAACAACAAAAATAGTTATTAAGAACTGCGTTTCAAACTGTGCCTTCAAAGCGAGGCAGCTATAGGTTATCTTCTTTCTTACCCCTATAAGGCTATCTATGGGGGTGGCCTAAGTTCTAGATCGCATATTTTATCGTGTGTAATGAATAAATGAATAATACCATGAAAGATTAACTGTTTTTGTTACTAAAATCTAGTGTTCTGTTAATTTAAGTAAATAGATTGGAGTACTGATTTTTATGGCGTTAAACTCGCTCCAACCCTCGTGATCTGTTATTGCCATCTAGCGTTGAAAAGTACTTGAACTAGAAAATAACTAGAACTTTTAAAACCAGGAGAATTACTAAAACGCAACAGCATGATACATCTTTACACATGACTATTCCATCATTTAAATGAATCCATTGAGTTTATAAATTTTGTAATTTGACGATTCGATATCGCAGTGGCTAAACGGTGAAATGCAATTTTGAAAATTGCAAGTTTGAAAAAACAACAACAAAAACACTTAATTTTAAGGGGCGATATTGACGGTTGAATTGGGTATATAACCGTAAACACCAAATATTTTTAATAACACATCATAAAAATAATGAGAATATTAAAATTAATAACGAAACTTTAAGCTAAATGAGAATAAAAATATATAAAAAATAGCTTTTTAGGAAGTTAAAAGCGATTTCAATAATAAAAAGGAATAAAGTAATTTCCTGAATCTAAATCTGTAATAAGTTCTTAGTCATGATAAATCAAAGAATTAAAGCCCCGAATTCAGAGATTAGTAAATGGTAATTATTATATTTGTGAAATAGATTTTTACTTATTGTTCAAATTTTATTGTTTTTGCACATTTAATTGGACAGGTCTTTTCTTAACTATTAAACCGGACCACCCTTGAGATTATATACAATATATTTGACATAGATGAATTATTTAAATAGGTTCGGCCATTTTTGAAGAGTCTATAAATATATATTAAACATTAGCGTCGAAATAAGAACCTTTCTCATTTTTGAATTCGGTTAATAAAATCGCTAGTTTCAGTCAGTGAGACCAAAAACGATACTTAATATTATACGATACTTAATAGTAATAGAGATCCAACGCCATTTAGTGTTGAAAAACAGAATAACTTTCCGACGGATACAAAAAGTAATTATTTGAGGAAGCTTTTGTTTCGTCTTTATATTAATATTTTTTTTAGGTGTTTTGTTCCTAAATTCTTAAATAAAATAATGTTCGATGCCGTTTCATGCAACGAGTTTTAATAGATATTACATTCATACGTCATTTCATACATGCAGTCTAGGTATCAACTAATCATTCACATACGGCCCATCAAAAGTTCACAGCTGTACATAGACATATTTGCCATAGTTGCCACGCTTGGCAGACGTGTTGGAAACAGCAGTTTTTTTTTAATTTTTGTTACCAGAAAGACACAGCTGCCCATCTCTTGGTTTGTCTCCCTCTGTCGTCTCTTAAGGTGAGTCTACGCTGTAGGAGCCGAGCACGAGCTGACCACAAGCTGAGCCGCTCTACTCGCGGTGTCAAGTGTGGACGTACAACGAGCCTATGACAACCACTCTCCTCGAACGTAGTTTTCCGCAGTGTGCTCAAAGGTCGTAGCGGATATGGACGAGTCTTGGAATATATGAGACCACGCATCAATCTTTTTATTTTTTAATAGTTATCCTCATGTTTGTTCTCACATCGTTGGATTATTTTGATATAATTAAATTAATTGCAAACAAAAATCAATCTTATGTCCACGTTTCCATGATGCTCGAGCGAAACGTCATCACTCAACACGTCCACGAACGCACTGCAAGCGCGATGCAAATCCCTTTGTGTTTGTCTAAAAACCGACAATAGGCGGAGCACAGTATTGATTGTAAGTCGCTCTACACTACACGAATTAGTGCTCGACTCATGCTCCGCTTGTGCTTGTACCTTTACGAAACCCACGGGACAATATGGGGTAGGTGATATTCTAACACCGCCCGTACACAATTTCCATTGTGAAGAATGTCAGAACTTTAAACTACGTTTAAGGGACTGAGGTACTTATATAAGAGTTATGAAAGAAACTGATGGAAAAATTTGGGATGTGCAAGCGGGTTTTAGAAAGGGAATGGGGTGTACAGACCACGTCTTTTCCATGCGCATGATTGCGGAGAAGTGTTTGGCCAAAAAACCAGAAAGTTTTTTGTGCGTTCATGGACTTGGAAAAGGCTTATGATAGAGTGGACAGGAATGTGTTATGGCAAACACTGAACTCATATGGGTTGAGCGCTGGTTTGATACAGGCATTAAGGTCTCTTTATAGGGACTCTAGTGCTTGTGTCAGGATCAATGGGGTCTACTCGGACTGGTTTGGCATCCAAAAAGGTGTCAGACAGGGCTGTGTAGATTCCCCTTGGCTGTTCAACCTATTTATGGACCGGTGTTTGCAAACTTTGAAAGATGAAGAATGTGGGTTAAGAATGGGAGAGTTAACCATCAAATGCCTTTTGTATGCCGATGATCAAGTCGTACTTGCGTCATCGGCGGCTGAGTTGCAAATGATGGTTACATTAATGAACTGGGCATTAAAAGAAAGGGGAATGAAAGTGAACGCAAATAAGACGAAAGTGATGGTTTTTGAAAGAGAAGAAAGCAAAACGGTATGTTAAATAAGAATAGAAGGAGAGTTAATTGAGCACGTGAGTGAGTTTGTATATTTTGGATGTGTATTTAGCAGGGATGGTAAATATGATAAGGATATAGAACGACGAGTAAATGCAGGGAATAGAGTAAATGGGGCACTACACTCTATCGTGAAGATTCGGAATGTGTCAAAAAGGCACGTATAGTAATACATAATGCTGTGTTAGTCCCTACTTTAATGTATGGTAGTGAAAGCTGGGTGTGGCAGAAGAAGCACGAAAGTAGAATAAATGCTATAGAAATGCGGTCTTTAAGGAGTATGCTAGGTTTGAATCTGAATGGTAGGGTGAAAAATTGCGTGATAAGACATAAATTTGGTATGCAAGATGATGTTGTGACCAGGATTAAGAAAGGAATGCTTCTGTGGTTTGGTCATGTAGAAAGAATGAATGAGGAAAGAGTGACAAAGCAAATTTATATGCCAGATGTGAACGGCAGAGTCAGGAAGAGACGCCCTAGAAAAAAGTTTATCGACCAAATTGGCGATATTTTGAAAATGAGACACATTAGAAGTACCCTTAACCGACGAGCATG